TACATGGCTTCGAGTTACGCAGATGGCTTTCAACCTTAAAACGCTTTTGAAAGATGAAACCCAGAGAAGATGAGAAGCAGCTGGCAAGTGCTGCACCACTTTCCACTAAGTACAGCTCTTCCCTGATGATACCCTCCCCAACTACTGATCATGGTATCAAGTAACATCACAGGACCCAAATTACAGCCCTTTAACTGGTTGACAACAATGTCTGCATAATGAAAATTTATTTTGACTTACTGCTGAACCTGCAACTCTTCTTGTTGTACCAAGAGTACAAAAGAATACATCTTTCTCCTTGAAATATTCCCCAACAGTATCATTAGTTATCTTCTCAAAATCTGCCAAAGTAAATAATGGATGTCATAGAATAAAAGCCTATCATCGATTTTATACAATTGACAATGTTATGGAAACATTCAGCACTGATACATGTATAGGAAAACTATCAGAAATGGGCATTTGTGGAAAGTTTTGAATCTATGGACCAARTACTAACAAAGTTATGGAGGAATAAAAATACAGGGATTTGTATGGAGTTCTTCGCTGAGGCCTTGAAAGCCTTGTTTGGTGTTTTTGAGCCATTTCTCACCCCTATAACTTAAAGAACAATTAAACTTTTTCTGTGAAACTTTAAGAACTTATTTGCAGCTTCAATATCTATGTTTTATTTTGTTAACATTTTAAATTTAACAATAATATGCTAATTAGTGCCAGCCATTATGAAAATCGTCAATACAATTTCACAACCCTCAATTAACAAGGTCAGTTTTTTTACATCTGTGTTATCTACATTTGATAATGCCATCTGGACCCCATCTGCTTTTTATGATAAACTTCTAATTCACTTGCTTGATACAGAAATGTTGCAACATCATGGAAATATGTTTTTTTCATGTAAACTTTGATCATGGAATTTTATCATCAGATATTTTCAAATTCATATTTGTTCATGAATACTTATTCTCATCAGCATGGAATATAATGGTTTATATTATAGCTAACATAGTACGTGCTCTCTGATTGGTCAAATGTTATTGTTTATTTCACAGGTAAACACACAAATGCTATAATATAAACTACTCGGGATATTGGGAAAACACTCAAAAGGCTGAAAATCTCTTGCCTCCGGCTTGATTTTTTACGCCCTTTTACTTTATTCCCAACATACTGTGTGGTTTATTTTACAAGGAACACACGGAAATTTGTTGTTTTTTGCTTAAATAATGTGTGCTGACAAGGCTAATATTATACATGATAGCTCTAACCAATGGCATGTTGTTTTAGTCTGCCACTCTCCTGTTCAGCTTTTTGGTCAGCATTGTAAGAGCTTGGTGCAGTTGCCTCACGTCTCCCAAGAACAACAATACTAGAAAAATTCTACAAGAAGAAAGAAAACATAAAATAAGTTATGAAAAACATCATATGTTCTGAGAGAAATAGGGAATCACAACAGATGTCTATGTAAGATACTTGTTTGAATTTTTGATGAGTTTCATTGTTAATTATTTACCTATTTTACATTAAAGTCTCACATTTTATTGGGAAAAGGAGTCTCTTCATGTTATTAGGAACCCCAGACCGTAATCTGACTGTCTTCATATAGATGATCACAGTGGCTAAATAATATATCTAAGTATAATAATAATAATGGATGTATAATATTGATATAATAATTGATCTAAGTAGGAAAAGTCACCAAGAAAAATTCCTTTTGTCCAGGCACTATACTTTACATCTCCCTAATTATATATATGATATCAAAGAGGCAAGATTTTGCTGTAACTCCGAGTTTCGTGCTACGCACTCATCAGACAGTATTTAATGCGTAGCACGAGGCAAGATTTTGCTGTAACTCCGAGTTTCGTGCTACGCACTCATCAGACAGTATTTAATGGGATCAGCCACTTCCTCACACGATTATCTCCCTAATTATACATAATCATAGATTTTCAACTATTATTAAAATGTCCATAGTAAAATGCACTTATTTTATAGAATTTCTTGAATGTTTATGTTTTTAAATTGTATGTCTGTCAACTAAGGGAAGGTATGTTTATTGCTGGGGGAGTGTTCAAAGTAATTTTTCCAAAAAAAATGTGTGACCCTCAGTAATTCTAAAACTAAACTTTTGACCCTCACCTCAAAAGTACCAAAAATACTGATGACCCTTCCCCACCCCAGACTCACAAGTCTCAGTCTATCAAAGTTTACAGAAAGCATGGCATTATTTACACTAATGGGCTAGGCAAAGCAAGCCAATCTAATCTAATCTGATGAGTTTCCCCATATTTTTACAGCACTTCCATCTTATTCTTGTTTTCAAAAATGATCAAAGTGAAAAGTCATCCTGTTTTCCTTTTTCTTATTCCTAAAAAGTGACTCTCAAAACACTTGAAAGTAAATTGCTTTTATCTTTTGCAAATCAATTTTCCGGAATTGGAAAAGAAGCTATGAAAAAATTGACAGGAATCTTRACTGTGCTTTGACTGCTATCCTGTGGTGAATTTTTGTCATGTGATTGGTTTTCTAATATTACCAATTTGGAAGATAAATGTTTKAGGGCCAGATCAGATAGCTATAAAAAATTTTTACTTAAAAATATTTGCCTTCCAGCAACCTCATATTAAGAACATGCTAGATTTAACAACGGGGGCAGATTTAGTGCAGTGAGAACTAAAAGTTATATTAAGTTACTTGTGTCCCACTTTAAAACTTTCTGGATTCGCCTCAAATGTAGTAGCATAAGTCTGATCTATTCACTTTCTGATGACTTTTCCTTTACAGCAGTCATCTTACTTTTATGCTAAGATATCGTGACACTCGATTAAGCTTATAAGAAAATCCTTTTGCATATTTTATTTAAGCTTACTTAAGGTGTGTAAGCTTATGAATCGTCGGCAGCGCGAACATAATCTGTTGATTGTTTACAATACTGCTGAAGTCCACCATGGACGTTTGTAAAAGGTTAGATTGATTGTGAAAAGTGACATTAAAATACCATCAGTGCATGTTAAACGGCTTTATCAGTCTTAAACTATTAATCTTACACTCGACTCAACACACGCATACCAAACAATACGATATCGATTTAGCTTACAAAATTTTAATGCCAGTTTACCTTGGAACAAATTAGCTCTCCAAGAACACATTCACCTATTGCACCTGTCGCTCCTACAAGAACTGCTCGAAGACCAAGTGAAGCCATGTTTGAACTTTGTGCAATTCCTGCTGACTCACCTCCTTCCGCCATATTGAATATACCACAGGAAACCCAATGGAAACTTGATCATATAATTTATAGTCACAGAGTATTAAAAAATCCAAACGACTATTAAAATACGTAAATTTGTTTTGAAGAAATAGAGACAGAGCACTTAATTAATCTTGATAGGTCATCTGTAAGCCCCCTGTCATTTAATAGTCACAAGGAAGAAATCAATAAAAGATAACGGGAACAGAAAATAAATAACAACTAGACGATCATGGATCGCTTACGTGGGCTTCCTGTGACAATGGTGTTAGATAGTCTTTGTTTGTAATAAGTCAAGACAGAATTAAGTTAATATGTTATCAATTTATTACATCATAATTTTTTACCGAACTGAACTCTAAGTAAATTCTTTGGATTTTCACAAAGGCTTTTAAGAAACTATTTACAATAATGATAATAATCTAAAAACTACAACTACTACTAATGATAATTACATATAGATCAATAAATTCAATTAAAACTCTTTAACTACATTATCAAATTGTCGCATCACTGTTGAGGCGAGTGTATTGAAGCCTAARAAGAGCCGGTGGACCACAAAAGAGTTGAGCAAGTGAAATCCCTCGAACTTGAGTCAAAAGGACCCGAATATAGGATAGTAACCTGGAGTTATTTGTACTGGAATACACGAATAAAATAACAGATTGTTACAATAACAGTAGATCTTCAAATAATGATCCATCAGGCCGAATGAATGTCACCGAACGTGGGAAAAGATCATTGACCTATCGTGGTGCTACCATATGTGGACATTCCAAACAAACACTGAAAGGTCCTGAAATATATGTGACAATTTAAGAAGTCTGTAAAGAGTGTGTTTCTTCGTGATTTTATTCAATGACTAGAACATTATTATGGATGTAAGTTGGATCAGAAAATTCCGTTTATAGTTTCCGGTGCGTAATCGCGCGATACAAAATACAACACTATCAAAGCTGCAAATGAAAATGGAGGAGACAAAATTTCGTAAGACTATTTGCAAAACATTTTAGTGTAAATTGAAATGATTGACCAAGTCTTCCCGGGGTGAATGATGGTAATGGAAGTAACGTTAAGTGCAGGGTTAAAAAAAATTATAGTCAATTTGAAACTTTTTATCTTTGATGATAATTAAAAGAAAAGAGGACGAAAATTTAGAAAAAAGAAAATATCGCAAGTTCCTTATATGGAAAGATTAGTCTACTGTCGCAGACGACCCTTAATTGGGACTTTGCTTCCACTAAAAAACTACAAAACATCTCACAAAACATCTCATTGTTATAGTTGCATATAAATTGTTTTTCCGCAATACTATTTAAAGAAGTAAACAATACGAAAGATCAATGTCATTTAACTTCGCTGATGCGGATCAATAGACGCTAGAAACATTTTGAAAACGTTGTTCATTGTCAACAAAAACTCTCTTATCATTGGATGATATGGACTTGATTAAAAAGTCAGTGTTTCGTACAAACGCACTAAGCAATACCATATGGCATTCATCATACTAACTATCACGCATTCAGCCGTGAATTACAAATAGGGAGCAATCATTTCCATTGCAGTTCTCGCTTTCATGTAAACAAAGCCTTTCCTTTATTAGACAAAATGGAATTGCATGTGGTAAAACCATTGTTAATAGAGGGTAAAACTGAAGAAGCTTGTGACAAATCATTAAAATAGTCTAARCTGAGTTGATATCTTGAAATGTATTCCAAATCTCTATATCTCTTGGCAGTTATCTGACAGAACGTTTATCTTCTGTATTTTGAATCAAACTTAATGTCATTTTTTCCCTCCTTTGAAATGAAATCATAGCAATCTTAACTCAGTATAAACGGATCATAGCATTTTCTTCCGTTTTTTGATTAGAAACAAAAAGGGGAAGAAAAAAAAAACAAATACTTTTTGTGAATTTTAATTTCCAGTATTGAATACTCTGTACAGCTGCACATTCTACTGTCAGAATTCAGAGACAGTTTGTGCATTGGAAATCAGTGATTTGTCGGATGAAACGGCTACGAAAAACCAACTATTTTCAAAAGTAAAAATATATAGTTTTTTCTTTGACTTCTGAATGAAAGAATAATTCTTGTGAATATTTGTTTTTAATGAATACTAACCGCAATAGGTGAAATCATATATATTTTGTACAGAAAAAGCATTATTTGTTCTAATTATGAACTACTTGAATATTGATTTTTTTAAATTCAAATACACTTTATTTTATTGAATATGTACATTATTAATTCAAAAGGTAAAATAGAATACTTTCAAATGAAAATGATCGTAGGCTTTCCTTTTTCATACTATAATAAAGTCGTCTCGATTTCTATCTTTGCAAGGGGCCTGCATGAGGCCCAATTACTCCAATGGGTTGATTCTTATCACTTGCAAAAATGATTTTTGTTGTAGTTTATATAACTTACAGAGGAGTTTTGCAGTGATCTGACATKGCAGAAAAAATGACAAAGTGGGCATCTTTTTGAGAATTTTGTATAACGTTTTTACGAATTCTTCCCATAACCATATGATTATGTATAAGACAATCTCGTACCCCGAGCCTTCGTTTTTCTTGGTCATGCAATGTATGGCCAAATAATAAAGTAATTTCTGATCAGTGCAATCATCAACGAGGGACTGGTATGACCCTTCCAGGACGTGTACAATGCAACAGACTCACAAAAGTACTGCGAAATTCTTTATTCATCGCCGCGTATATTCCAGGATTTAACGCTGAATTCATAGTTGCAAACATAACAGCCCCGGCGTAAATGTACGAATTGACGTAATTCTCCTTGAAAATGTCGATGATCATGATTACAAATAGTGGAGTCCAGAATAGAATAAATGATCCAAGTACCAGGGCCACCATCTTAGTAGCTTTTGTTTCTTTAACGAGTGTAGTCATGGAACTGCTAGAATAATTTACCATGATGCTGTTCATAGCTGCACAGATACGTGTCGAGTGCATTTGAGCAGTTTTGAATATCCTGTAGTAAGCAAGTAGCATGAAAATCGATGGAAATGTAGCAAGTACACAAATAGTTATTATATACTCTCTCTTAAGATTTAACGACACTTGGCAAAATATGCCCTCAGTCCTTGGTACAACAGTTCGCCATCCCATGTACGGGACAAACCCAAAGACAGTCGAAAAAATCCAGATTGAAGCAATAATTGYAGCCATTACTCTTTTCCTCATGATCAGTTTGTAGCGTAGTGGTCTCATTATCGCCAGATATCGATCCAAACTAACAGCGCTTAGATTTGCTACAGCATTGAACATTAACGACACTGCTACAGAAATAGTTGCATGACAGTAGGTCATTCCTCGAGAATATTCCATGTCGGGTCCAACTACATTTGAAATAATGATTAAAGGAACAACAATCACGGAGATTAGTAAGTCGGAAATGGCTAAACTTGTAATAAAAGCGCTCGTTCTGGTTTGCAGTCTTCGATTTAATGCTACWGAAGCAATAACCAAGGAATTTCCCGCCAAAATCACCAATGATACGGCAACAACTCCAGCACTCATGGTCGCCATTGTGARCTTGTTCTTGTCGGTCGTTGTGCTGTTACTTTCCATTTCGTGACAGTTTCCTGGATTTCTCCAGCAGCTAAAATGGATTGTTTTAAGAATGCACTCGAGATTTTTGATGATACTATCTGGTCAAAGATTGCCAACGGCTTCGTTTCAACAGATTTTGAAAGTGCTCAATAAAACGCTTCCAAAGACGAATTTTCACACTATTTTGAAAGTACTACATCATTTTCTCAAATATTGATTTACSTTCATTTTGATCGGTGTGAATCTCTGTCGATTATGTTTATACCATATGCTCGCCAAGGCTTTTCATCCAATCCATATTCATCATTACTTCGCATCTAAAATTTGACAAGCACTTGTCCACCCCCACAGTCYATACAAGAATACATCAATCAGATCTAAGCACAGGGAAAGTAGATTCTGACGACTTTATTATTCAGTATTCTTATAATGCAGAGGCGGCAGTTTAAACACAACTGTGTCAATAGCTTTTGCTTTGTAGTGTGAAAAACGGCGAAGAATAGAGAATCCCAATTTTCTCGTTTTATGMATTTGTAATGAAAGTTTTTAATGAAACATGATAAATGGAATATAGAATGAATCCCTCGACACAGGTCCCAGTGTTYCATCATTTCATTTCTTTCATCCAAAACAAAACCAAATAATCCKTACTGTTAACAACATCAGTGGAATCAATGTTATAAATGTTATATTGTTTTACTCTTTCGATGAAAATAAAATGCTGAGAGTGGAAAGAAGTGMSTATAGTATAAAAGCTGCCTCATGTTGRCAACTCAACAATTCATTAACTATTGCGCTACTTGTGAATTGAACTCACACGATAAACAAAACTCGTCGRACAGAACCATTGTAAAAGGTGAAGTACTAATAAATGAAAGCGGGAAAACACAAAATAAATAGACTGAATACTCAATGTAAATACGAAGACGAAATCTAAATYAACTCTCGGACGAAAACGGAAAACAAAATTGTAAGGGTAACAAAGAAGGAAAAAACAGACAAAAGGATAATAAACGAATAAAAAATAAATAAATGATATTAAATAAATAAAAACGATATATAACAGTAAAGACCTGCACAAGAAAGAAAGAGATTTCCGAGGAATGAACAGTGGAGCGGAAAAGCTATTGTTTTCATTTGCTTCAAAATTCGCAGTCTACTCATAACGCGGTGCGTGAAGAACTGGTCAGTCATCACCGACAATATATAGCATTACTCACTGAATGTTCTTCTGAAACAGCGTTTTAAAAATCCTTATGGATACGGAGAACGTTTATTAAAGTCCTAAAGTTCAATAGACTGCTGATTAATCTATGAAAACTGCGACCAAAGGGTCTATTATAGATCATTATTATGTCATAAATTCTTCAATGATCGATCCTTTTCGAAGAATATATATCAGCCATTTTTTAAGATTTTTCTCATAAATTAAATGGATTACATGTACTCGAATTTTTACAATTAAAACACTATCTGACTATAGGTGATCTGATCTAGATTCTCTTATCATATAAATATTTTACATACAAGATACACATTTTCCTCCAAAAGAAAAAAGATAAACATTGCTATTGAATTAACCAATAGACGAAAAGAAATGAGAAAGAAGAAAAAGAATTGCTATAAATGTATATCAGCCTGAACGTTTTTGAATTTATTATTTTATGTTTTGCTAACGGCAGAATTCAAACACAGTTTTAATATTCTATACAYCTTTTTTTGCCTTTTATGAAAATCATTCTTAATTTATACGCGGCACACACTCGATAAAGGAATAATTAATGAAACGATTGAATGGCTGGAAATTAACTTAAGTAACAGATGGCAAAAGCTGATTCTATATAAACTTGCTGTTTGTACCTRACTTTTAAATACATAATTTCTTCAAAGTCGGTCATCGTCCATTTCATTCAATCAGCTTTTTATGTACCATCAATGATGTGGCCGTAAGTTTGCAACCGATACGATTATGAGAACCAAGACTATTGATAGAATTATTTGACTTAAATTGCCGCGGTTAAGAGTTTTCCCTCTCATTTTTTTAAGATTATTTGATAGTTCTTTATTTTAGGTAAGTTATATAGGCTTTTAAGTCTTAAGAAAGATTTCTTTTTTTTCTCTTTAAAATAGTTGTTGCATCGTGTTAGACTGAACAATTGGACGGAAGAGTGCGCACAATTTTTTTTTACTGAGGTTGCAAACTTCTATTTACACGGCTGTGCTGACGTCAAGGAAAACCCGGTATTTTTATCATATATTAGAGATGTGACTTCTAAACATAACCATGGTTCATCAGTATTTACATCAAATTTACAACCTTTAAAGTGCGCGAGTTTTTCCAGTGGTATGGCTAGAGCTATAATCTTTTTGGAGGAAGTATCGCAATGTCATAYTTGGACTTTTCCCCGACAGACAGGAATTGATACAAATCCTTGTAGGTCTTGAGAAAACCTTGAAGTTTTATTCCTCCACAACTTCGTTAGTATTTAGTCATTTAGTATTGAAAACTTTCCACAAAACAGATTTCTGGTATTTAGTCGATGGTCGTCACCCATAAAAGTGTTGTAGCTGTTCTAGTCGTTGGAAATGCATGGGAAGGGCTATATTTTTGATAGCCGAACGTTGACTAGCCGCAGTACATCTTTAGAAATGATACACGAATAACTTGTGCGAGTTTCTAAAAAGCGAGTTTGTACGTTTCATTTGACATTTTCCCCCTCAAGGACCAGTCACAGGGGTACCAGTCACAGGGGTACCAGTCACAGGGGGACCAGTCACAGGGGGACCAGTCACAGGGGTACTTACTATATGCACTTGTCTCAGTGAATTCCAAGGAGATAACGTTTTTTATTTAAAAAAATACAATCCGAGTTAACATTGCCAAGCTTTTCCTCAGCGGATTCTTGATCATGCTGTAACACGCCAAGAACTGATATCATTGGAAAACAAACAAGCAAACAAAATCATCTCTACTACGCCCTACAATAAAAGGGCTGGAAACAGGGATCTAATCCTAGTATTAGAACCATAAAAACATTCTATTGAAATCATGATCCGTTCGTTTTTGTATTTCTTGATATATACAAGTAATTATGTATGTAGAAAATCAAGTCAACAAGAATTATGAAAAAAGTTATATCAGAATAACAAAGCCATGCAGCTTTTGGGATTTTCCCCTATATTAATGTTTGTTAACGATGTGTGTTTTAGTCTCCTCGCATCCGTTCTTAGTGGCGGGCTCCCTGGGACAGGGAGTCYGCCACTAAGAACGGCTGCGAGGAGGACACAATGTGTGTTTGAGCCCGCAGTAAAATAAGCCGCAATAAAACGCTTTTCGTGCTTTCACCACAACATGAGTCATCATCGACCTCATGGTCTTTTTCCTACACAAGAGTCAGTRATTGTTGGTSCTTGAATTCATCAGTGTTTTCGGTCTAGACATCAAGACGAAAACTYACAACCTCAATCACTAAACATACTTTATGCAAACAAGACCACTGAGACTTGATTGTTCATGCACTGGATAAAGATTTCGTTATGATCACCGGGGGAGAGGAGGGGACTGTGAAAACGACTAGGTGGTAGATAATCATGTTTACAAAGTCACATAGATAGCTGCAATTATATAAAGGAATTATTCGGGGATTAATAATATATTATATACTTCYGGTTAAGGTACTGAATTAAGAAATGAACGATTTCCTAAATTCAGAGATCGCTGATGAAAACGAATAACCGGTCTTCACGGTTCATAAATACTTCAACTTGAAGACCGCGAAATTTCATTCACAAAAAAAGAGACCCCGGAAATAGAGTGACAGCTGAGCTGTCGTAAAAAGAATTTGCTACCRATGAYTGTACGSGTAACCCACTGTCTTTGTGGKCCTCCGTGAATGGGTGTGGCGCCAGGAACTTCGTCATTGATTAAGATTTTTGGTAAAACACTTCAATCGGTTGAGATATCCTGATAGATAACGAACTTGAAGCTCAAATCATGGTAAGGTAAAGTGAAAGATATAGTGTTAAAAGTTGACAGGAATAGAAATAACTGCTCGCTTCAAAGGAACGTAYTAACAGCTGCGTATCATCAAACTGAACGTAAGGAAACGTAGCAATTTTGCGTCCCACGAGGATCGCTAAACTACCATTTATCATTTGGTTGGTCCATGGATTTAATAGGCGACAATAATACTGTCACACACGCAGGCTGATCGTTGAAACAATACAGTGAATAACTACCAGCGAAAATCATATGTCTAAACCGTAACTCGCCGTAATTGTCATTTAACGTAGTCCTGAGACTTCAAGGCAAACTTAGCGACCCTACTATATATTATCATACTATATATCAAGTGTTGGTCTATATAAGCAGTCCAATGAGTATATAGACGATCAAGGCATTTTGTATGACAACCTTTCATTCATGATATACCGGGTGTCGGAAACTTTAGGATTGGAATCAGACTACGTATTTAAACGCAGCTTTATGTGCATGGTAGAGAAATGTACGCATACACGTATTGAGTACGTACGTAAAGGTATATGCGCAAGACGTTTTCTAGTTTCCCCATATCAAGTATACCAAACCACGACGTGACACAATGGGGCACATCAGCTTCAAATAACCTTAAGAATGYAGCTTTATAAATATACCTTTTAAACTAGAATGACAGTTCATTTACTTTGGGTAGGGCTTGTTTACTATTAGCACAGGGTGCAAATTAAAGTGCAAATAGCTCTTTAACATAACCGATCGGATTAAAGTAGTAAATTGCCACCTAAATACGTTTGGATCACAAACTCCTTCGTCCATAAAGAGGTATGTTGCCGCCTGTAAAAGGTTAGAACTTCCATAGCTGCCATAGGTTTCCTTTCTTGGGGAATGAACTCCATATTCGTTGAGAAGCATCGGTGCATGTACGACTGGTTTCAAGCAATGRCTTTCATCTGTCATTTAAGTTTCAAATTCATTTCCAATCTTCGAATACATACAGTAAAAATCCTAACAATTTTAACGACTCAATTTTAACAAAATAGAAGTATTTAGTCTATAATGTCATTAAGCGCTATAACTCGTGTATGGATTTGGGCAGTCTGACGATTTTTCTGGATTCACTAATTTTCGATCGCATTATCGGGCTCGAAAAACGGTGYATTGCACCAAAATAGCAGTAGCGTACATGCAAAGAGAGACCGAACCAAATAAGTACCTAGACTGTCCAAGTCTCGATTGATTTGAGTTTGCTCCTTTCAAGTGGACATTCAAAATGCTTTTGAATCAACACAAAATACTTGTGAACCGAGACTTCAAGCAACTCGAAGTTTGTTTGCGATCTTTTCGCCAGCACTCGACCTTCAGACTGTTCTCATTCATTGCGAGTAGACATGAGTTTTCTCTTAATCGACCTGGATTCTAGAAGGTCATGTTTTTACTAAACAAGCGCCGTTGTTCATGAACTGTCTTAGCGGCTAAACACCCAGATCTCCACAAATCCCTGCAAAGTAGTAAAGGTGTTTACCATCAGTCAATACCATCACATATTGATTGACACGCCTCGGCATACACGACATTTATTTGATATTCAATTTCTATCAAAAAACTGTGAAATGTGAGACAGGGACTGATGCAGATCGTGACGTATATCAGCGATTCGATATGGTCAGACAGTGTTCCCATGCCCTCTATAGTAAGTACAGTCACAACAGCAAAACTTTTATCAGTGGTTCATATCACTAAAGTATCAGCTTTACTTGGTTTATTTTGATAGGAAGATAATCGGTCACTGTGCTTGTGGGCTGCGTGAGAACTAAGAATATAATGACAACATTATAGTGAAGTGATCTATTAGCATTCCTAGCCCGGCCCCTAGGTTACAATGCTTGTGAGATTTGGCACATGAAGAAGTTTATAATCATCTTTGTAGACCTAAGACACCGATATGAATTTGGCCAAATACATCCTAGTACTACTGATATCCATGCAAGTGGTTTTGGGATTGTCCAAGAAAGTATATAATGTTCCAGACAAGAAGCAAGGTAACTGTACATGATGATTGTATTAAGCCTCCATCGTGGTTCTCAATCATGTATTTTACAGCTAGTATAAATTTTTACTTTCTTGAACAGGAAACTTTATAAAACGTCTCAAGGATTATGATATCGTTGTTCCTTYACGAGTTGATCAAGATGGAAGGTTTATATCACATGTTATCCAGCATCGCACCWCAAACGASAAGAATATGAACTTTAATATCGTTGCCTTTAATAAACAATTACAATTGGAATTGACCAAAGAMTCGAGGTTTATTTCTCCTGGTTTAATAATAGAGACACAGACAACACAAAGACAAATTAATCGAAGCTGTCACTTCATTGGGCGCCTTAACAATCAACCTGGCTCAACCGTGTTCCTTAGCAATTGTCGTGGCTTGGTGAGTCTGTGAAGTATGGTGTTTAGCCGTCAGATCTTATTGCGAATATTTCTTCATAAAGTTAACTGATGAAAACCCAGTCCTCCCTCATATGCGCCATACACGTGTCTAGCACCTTTGCCCTACCAAATRTTAATATTTTCAAATACTGCTTTACTGAAAACAGTAGAAATGCGACAATTCCATTTACAAATAATCATAATCGATGATGAATCAAAAATACATTCCATTAAGTAATTCATTCATAAACGAAATTACAAATTGAAATTCCATTAGTGCATGAATGCTAGATAGTTTTAAACAATAGTTGCGTTATTATAACGCGAGCTTGTACAACGATTGACCCCTGCTCTTATCGGAATTCTAATCAACAAAGACTCTACAATATCTCTAAGATTCAAAAGCCTTTAAGTCTCTAACAATAACAAAGTTTTCGTGAATCAATTGAGTTGCCGACAGTAATTTAATAACAGAATTGGTGACAGTCTTTTCTTGAGCGTTGAGAGGTCTTGTCTGAATCGAAAAACCACAACGTCRCCGGAAGGCAAACAAAATTCTTTCYATTCTGTTAGTAAATGTGTTTTTATTCAAAGCAAAAAAGTGCGCATACATTTCGGTCAGAGAAGGAATGAAATCACAAAGCATTCGTGCTGTAGATATTTCTCTAACGCGCGTGCTACAATGTAGGGTGAAGTACTAATTCTGAGTAACATTAAAGGTTTTCTAGCATGCAACCAGCCAATTTCCATYATAACGATTTGAAAACGTAAGGAGAAGTAGAAAAGAATGCTTTTTCATAAATAACTGGTAAATAACATGCTAAAAATATTTCCTTCTACGCTTTTGACCTTGCCCACTGAAGTGCTTCAATTTCAATAATAAAARTTGGCGGTCTCGTGCTGGTCTGAACMAAAAATATGAATATTTCTAAAGCTGTCAAATTTTGGACATACAAATTCAATTAACTATTTTCTTGTTAGAGTTTTATGTTATATTTGAGAAAATGAAACGAAGTGTCCTCTGTTGYAAACGAAACCTATGGTAAAAATGTAAATGAAATCAGTGGAAATATTGTWGTTCAAGTTCGACCGTTCGAACTGAAGAATTATTAACCCAATATATTTGCAAGAAAATTATKACASCATTCGCTGCACCAGGAAATCRGAGTGCGCCGGCTTTACCTCACATTGGTGCCTAATAAAGAGAATATCATGTTGCAAAAAGAAATGATATCCAGCCCTTCCCACACATATAATAATATAGGTTGATAATCTTTGGTCTGTTACGCTTTTATCCAACTACAATACCCTAGAGTTTATTTTTTGTACGCAATTTATGCAATCGAAAAGACCTCTTGTTAGAGTATATACCCATTACACGGCTCAGCATCAAAATCCCTCTGCATCTTAGAGGGGCTGTTTATAAAGTAGTACAATTAATGTGGTGAAAAACAGCTGATTTGTCATGTCTGCTAGACTAACGATTGGTCTTGGCCAGGGTCATTTTAATAACAGACTCTCTGGAGACAAAGTGGTACGAGATGCTAATATGCAGACTTTCATACTTATTCAAGAATAATTTTCGAAGAAAATTGAAAGGGAATAAGAAGTTGTTYTACTATGAAACCTTTAGAAACATAGAGCATTGTTGACCATTTYCTCGCTGACATGWGCGAGAAGACTGTCCGCCTACCTTTGATGTGTGAGATAAATATAATAAATAGCGAAAGAGGTCGTCAAACCGATGTCTGTGCGGGGTATGATATTTGATTGTGGGTGTACAWGGGGTGGAGAATGGTCCCCAGATATTTTCTGAGAAGGCCGAGATCGAGGTTATTAAAATTGGAGATCAAAAATCTGTGAGATTTGAAAGCATTAGATTTGGAGACCAACGAAGACTTTCAAGATGGAACGAATCAAAGATGGACATACAAAAATTGCGAAATCCGAGGATATTTTGCTTTTTTGGAGATGGTTTTCTCCTGCTATTTGATTMTACTTTCGCAAAAAGTCCTTTCTTTCAAAAACAATAAAGCGAAAATATACTAGAACTTTACGTTAAAAAGAATTTACTCTAACTTCGCTGAGTTTCAAATGCCAAATCTCACATTTGACGAGRTCAATGTTAATGAGATGAGAAGAAACAGAAAATCCACACAAGAGAGCTTCGACGTTTGATTGCAGAGTTATGAAAGTTATGGACAGACCAATCAAATAAATAGGGATCAAATAAATAAATGTTAAATGATTGAATGAAGTAAAACAGCTTTTTGGTAAAAATATTCTCTTATTTTGGCATTTACTATGTAGCTAAAAATAACGAGACCTCTTATCTGAAAGTAGGAAACATGCAACCTTAAAGACGCCTTCGTGTTCACAAACAAACGATTGTTAGATTCATCCGGCCAGGAATACATAGCGATTTGCTTTTATGGATTGGTTTACAATTGTAATTCTTAGACGAAAATTTAAAAGGTAGTAAGTGTAGAAGTGTGCCCGCCTAAAGATCCAATCATGCGATAGCAGCTTGAAAACTCTTCACGGAAATTGCCTCGGGTTAAGTGTTTTTGCATCAGTTGAACCATAAGTCTTGGTTACTGAYGGAGTAACTAGAGATCAATTAGTTGAAAATAACAYAAACAAACGAGAAAAGTCCCAAAGTATTCGAGTCCAGAAATTATGATCTGACAACATAATATTTCATGTCACTATAATTGAAAATGCAGTGGAAATTTGACAGCCACAACAGACAAAGAGTATATCATTATCGGTCAGCTAATCTGAGTCAATTAATTCATCGTAAGTGATATCTTCTTTAAACTGATAAAAGAAGACTCTCAAAGTTGGCAGCATTTTCTTGTCACTCAATCCTTGCGTCGTCGCTCGTGGCTTCTGTCTTATCGTGGAGGTTATACTTTCTGACTTCTAGAAGTTATTTTCAAAGCCGCATTTGCAAAATGTTGCTTATCTGAATCATTCATCCTTGAGATCTATTTCTGGGTATTGCAGATAACCTTTCATGACGTGGTATTAGTAATATATCTCTCAGATATCGCGGGCCACACTGTGAACTTACACAAAACACAATTCTTTCGCGATGTTGTTTTTTTATTTTTGTTACAAGGATTGCACTTAGATAGTAGCCATTCATTTATAGATTTATAGTCAGGCTACTGGGACCGAATTTCTTAAATGTGATTTTTAAGCAAAGCTCGCGTTCTTTTAGAGACAAAGAATGTATGCTGCTTTCGTTGGACGGTTTATGCACAGGGAGCACAGGCTCTTTATCAGTGGTTCTTATGTACACCACCCCTCCCCTCCCCTCTATATTTACCGTTATTTTGAAGAGTTTATATGGTGTTATTGAATCGAGAATTTCTCGCTTGAATTTTAATAAATCGAAACAAAACTTAAACATGTTGTTATTGATGTATTGTGCAATCCTCTGACGAAGTTTCAGCCGATTGCCTTGAGTTTAAGTGCCTCAAAATAACGGTAAATATAGAGGGGAGGGGAGGGGTGGTGTACATAAGAACCACTGATAAAGAGCCTGTGCTCCCTGTGGTTTATGATGCTTTGCTTGGACACCACCACGTTTCCATTTAAGCCTTTTGCATTCTGCTCTTTCACATGATGGGGTTATTCAGTTTCTGATATCATTATTCAATCAGATTTAGAAGTTCGCGTCCAGCCCGCTTTTCGTTTCTTTGTTATCTGCGACGTCACTTTGTATGACAGAACAAGATGGGAAAAATAATTCCCCAAATCAATTTTTGTGTTTCCTTTGATAAGGCAAGATTACTTGAATCTTTGCAAAAGAAAACATGAAAACGTATTTTGCGGAGTATTTTTATTTTTATTAAAATGGGAATAAAAAAGCGCGCGGAAAAAAATTTCACCGTCATGTATAGAATAAAAAAGTCTGAACCCAGGCGAATGAATATAAACTGATAATTACCCTTTGAACCCCATTTGAACTGAAAAACTGTCTCATAATATAGGGATTGCGCAATATTCATCATGAKGGCGGAATGAGAATCCAGAGGCGTGGGGAAGGGGCAAAATCTAATTTTATGTGCTTAAAGAGGGGGGAGCAACGTCTAAAAATTAACTAGAACTTTAGTCGGAACTGGAAAACTCAACGGTTGTCAGATCGATTCTGTGCTTTGTGGCCCAATACTTATTGAAGTGGAAAACGTCTAAAGAAAAGCGTGACACTATTTGCGACATTTTTTATTCATTTTTTATTCACGAATGATAAATAAATAAATTCACGTGGTGAACTACGAGTTTTTTAAATGACTTCTAAAACCCAAACCTAAGAAACTACAATAAACATGAAATAAATAAAAAAATATCAAAAATGAATAATTAATGAAGATATCTCCATCTGAGCATGAGCAGTAATCAACTTGGTTTCCCACATCCAAGCGCCACTATGTTTTAGTGTACTGTGACTCTGCAAATAAGTAATTTTAACTCGAAACCTGTGAAGTTCTATGATGAGAGTCTAAAACTGAGAACTTTTGTAGTGTTGGGCACACATCGAGTGTCTGTAAATCAGTTACAACACTGATGTTTTATGCATGAGTGTTATAACTAACTGAACCGGTTAGTTATAAAACTCATGTTTAATTAAGTAACAATGCGATAAAGAACTAGGGAACTCTCTATTGTTCTGCGGCATAGCAAGTTCCCCATGTACGAATGTCTTGGTTTTCACACTGATTATGTATCCATCTGTGGGTAACACATTTTTGAAATAAAATGTGGATAAACTCTATTTTGAAACAAAGTTTCTTTTGTATTAAAAGCTCATATCCAATCATAAGCACTCAAAACAATAGCCAAAAGATGCTTCTAATTTGATATGTTCCCCACGTAGAATTGCCTTAATATTAAAGCTAAAGAAAGCTTTCATGAAAGCGAAAACAAACATTAAATAAAATATTAGAAAATTCGCTAACTTGTGAAATTATAGCAGATTTTCATGTTTTAACCAATGGGATGGATGGATTATACAATGCGCAATTAGCACCTTCTTGCATTCCTGTGCCGTTTGCTTCCCTAGTTCTTACTCGGGGCATTACTTAATCAGTGTTTATAACTTGAGTTATAGATCCTGACATGTGACCCATAGTTGAATGCTCATTGGAAGAATGTCTAATGAATAATTCATGAGTTTTAGAAGCATAACTTATTTTTTTATATCGTCTCTTAATTTATTGGTTTTATATTTCATTTGATATGGTTTATTATCAGGAAGGCGTTATTCACGATGCTGATGGAGACCACTTGTTCATCGAGCCAATTCTTGGTTATAACCACCGAGATGGTCATCACCCTCACCTTATATACAGACGGTCAGCCTTRCAGCACCCCCCTGATGGCGAAATGTATTTAGACACACATGGTGAGAAGGGCTTTTAACCTGCAGGGTATAAAATAAGTAAACAAAWAAGTTCTTGAATTCTARAAATRATTTTTACGCTTTGTTTCTCAACAGAGAAAATATCTCTTGCAAGACGTAAAAAGGAGCCATATTTGGAATTGATAAGAGAAGCAAGTCATTTTCGTGAAAGAAGGTCAATTTCTAGTGAGCGCAACGTTGAAGTATTAGTTGTAGCTGACAAGTCTATGTATGACTTCCACAAAGACGATTTAGAGCACTACTTACTCACCGTCATGAACATGGTAAGAGCCTGGGACCTAGAACTTGTCAACTCGTTATCAAAGTTTATAATTATKATCGAAATCAGATTTGGCTGAACTCTACTTATAATCGGAATATAAAAGTGCATCAATTGCCGTATGTGCGATTCGTCTTATCRAATCGCACATACGAATCATTTCATACCGTGGAAGACTGGGTCCCTTAATTCAACGAGGGTGCGATAGATCGAAATATCGCATTGTAACAGAGCAACGTGGGGGGTCTCAGGAGATCAGGAATCCCAGGCCTTAACATGCTTGAGAAATCATAAAGTTCAGTGTTAATCAGATCAAATGTGAACGATTGACAGCTTTTTTATTTGGAAAAATGCGTACGCATCGTCTGACATCTTTTTAAATTGTGAAAATCGTTCACTATTGATATGATCGATATCAATTTGGACAGTTAGTATTTTTCAATGTGGTCTTTTATTCTTCACCATGACAATTAAGGGAATTGCATCCAGTCTCCTATGAAATCACGCATCTATAGCGTCCATTACGTAAAAACGCACACAACACTAAAGTTTCATTTTTTTGCATTCAGATCAAAAATGAATCTTTTACAGGTCATTCAGAATCGTGCGTACTTGTGACTATACTACGCCCCGGATTTTTACCCTGATTTAATTCATTTACATCTACGATGAATTTATTAGTCGGACTAGCCGAAGGCCAGGTCGACTTGAGTTTTACCTTTTAGACTATCAATCTATCTATCTGTGTATTTTGCCGCGTTTGGACCACCGGAAGTTAAGAATTTAATGATTAACTATTGGGTTGGCTGTGTTATTACATGACTGGAATCTCAAACGTATAGATGTATGAATATCGTTAGTATGTTATATGCTACTT